CGCGGCCGCCTGCTCGATCGGTTTCGCAGGTGCGAGGGCGCAGCGGGAACCCAGGCAGACGGCGGGATTTAAAAGGTGGCAGACGCCGGAGGAGGGAAAAAGAAGGGGCACGAGAGATTGATGGAGAGGCCAAGCCTGTGCACCACCCTTTGTAGGGCATCTGCCTCTTCAGGCGTCTGGGAACCCGAGCAGGAGGTCCGGACGAATCCGATATTAGACCAACATGTTTTTTGGCTGTTGGGTTTTGTTTTGTTTTGTTTGCGGCTGCTTGGTAAGGGGATCCGAACCTTCGACCTTGGTGTTACCAGCATCACGCTCTCTGAAATTAAAGGGAGAGCTAAGAGCAGGGGCCCAAGTGCAGTGGGACTTAGACCAAGAATCCTCTTTGTACCAGTTTGACGTATGTTGGGGGTTGTGATTGAACTTAATAGCATAGAGATTTAAACGAGGGAAACAGTGTATAGTTCCTCCTAAAAGCTATTATTTGACCTATTACATTGACATCACATGGAGCATGTCAGAATTACCTCCCTGAAAAGCCCTTAATGGAGTCGGTAAAGCACAGAACACATGATTGTGTAAATATAAATGCAGGATGAACTGTAGCAAGGAGGGGCCCTTCTTCCTCCTGCCATACTATTTAAATTAGTTACCTCTTTTAAAATCTGAACCTACCTCAAAATTGAATCCTGGAGAATTAAGTGCATATAGGCATAACTCCCCTACATCAGGTGAGACTCAGCTGGCTGCTACAAGAACCTACTAGAGCCTAACTGCAGTAAAACAACCTGTTTTTTAGGCAAGGGTTTTTTCTAAGTAAAGATGGATCCTCCCGCACCCCCATTTATTTTTTATTTTTTNAAAACAACCTGTTTTTTAGGCAAGGGTTTTTTCTAAGTAAAGATGGATCCTCCCGCACCCCCATTTATTTTTTATTTTTTATTTTTTTGTCTTTTTTCGTGTCCGGCAACGGGATCGCAACCCTCGGCGTTGTGCCCGCACCTCGCTCAGCCAGTGAGCGGGAACCCGTCTGTATGTGGGATCTGAACCCTTGGCGCTCCTAAGCGGCACACTGTAGCAGTGCGCCACCGGGCCGGCCCCCTCGCACCCCCATTTATTGAATTAACTTGTCAGTGAATTAGAAAGACATTTTAAATTCTAAATTCACTCACCAATTCTAAAGTGGTTATCTCCCTTCCATAAATGAAGGTCTGTACTAGTGTTTCTTTTCCTTGAGCAATCTTTGTTTTTACTCACTGATGCATCCAGGTGTCACTTGCCTGGAACAGTCTCTGATACATAGTAGGCTCTCTATTACCCTAAGGTTCTTAACATGCTTCTGTGAATCCAGAGTTTTCCAAAGTGATTTTTTGTTTTTCCTGCTCTAGTTCGATACCTCAATGCCTATACCGGAATAGTGCTACTTCGATGCCGAAAAGAATTCTACCAGCTTGTGTGGTCAGCAATTCCCTTCATCACATACTTGGAGATCAAAGGACACCGTTACCCTTGTTTGTTCAACACATTACATGTGGGAGGTACGGGTGGCATGTGATCTGGCTGATTTTTCAGTAGGTGACAGGTTCAGAACTCAGTCTTGACTGGTGAGTGGGTCTTCCTGCTGTCCTGCTAAGAACAAAGTATTTTCCCCTAGCTCTAAAAGCCTGTAAGGTAGAGGCCTTTCACAAGCTGTTGACTACAGAAACTTTTTCATGTGCCAGGTACAATTAGAACATGTCAGAAGTTCCTGATTCAGTACAACAGGAGACAGCTATTGATCTTGTTGCAGAACTGCACTGATGAAGGTAAGCAATACTAGCCTAGTGCCTACTCAGCGACTGACTTTCAGCTGAGTAAGAGATCATTCCCAAAGACGTCTTCATCCCTGCTCTGCCTTTCTCCAGGAGAGCGAGAAGCTATCCAGAAGTCTGTAATGAGAAGCTGCTTACTAGAGGAGGAATCAGGTGAGGAGGAGGAGCTTTCAGATAGCGGTGGTGAGGAGGCTGCTGAAGCAATGGAGTGAACTTCTGCATACCACACAGCAGGCTGCAGTGTGCCCAAGCCTTGGGCCCACTTGGAACAGGACATTCTGAGAGGCAGGAGCATCTTCTACAATTCTCCAAACTGGATGACCACCAACAAATTACCAACCTGAAATGGAGGACTGACTTAAAACAAACCGAAATCACCTTTACCTGGTGTTCCCTGTTGAAGTGGGTCTACAGGTTGTGAATGCTCTGTAGTTATAGACATCTTTGTATCTAATTGCTTAGATGAGAATAGGTTTAATAAATTATTTCTTCTTTAGCATTTAGCATATTAAATTTTTTTTAAAAGCTTATGGAGTTCATGCTAGGCCAAGTCTCTTCCCCCCTTCTACCCCTGGCCTTGGTGGGAAAACTGGCTCCCTATGTGGTACTGGATGAATTTTAAATATTTAGCCTTCCACTTGAGGTTTTGTACCCCCAACCCCAGGATGGACCCTAAGCAAACCAAATCATTTGGAGTAGAAATATCAGTGAGACATAGCAACTAAACTTAGTACAGATCTACACCCAGTCTCATTACTGATCTACAGGGCCCTACAAATACGTCTTCCTGCTGTCCTGCTAAGAACAAAGTATTTTCCCCTAGCTCTAAAAGCCTGTAAGGTAGAGGCCTTTCACAAGCTGTTGACTACAGAAACTTTTTCATGTGCCAGGTACAATTAGAACATGTCAGAAGTTCCTGATTCAGTACAACAGGAGACAGCTATTGATCTTGTTGCAGAACTGCACTGATGAAGGTAAGCAATACTAGCCTAGTGCCTACTCAGCGACTGACTTTCAGCTGAGTAAGAGATCATTCCCAAAGACGTCTTCATCCCTGCTCTGCCTTTCTCCAGGAGAGCGAGAAGCTATCCAGAAGTCTGTAATGAGAAGCTGCTTACTAGAGGAGGAATCAGGTGAGGAGGAGGAGCTTTCAGATAGCGGTGGTGAGGAGGCTGCTGAAGCAATGGAGTGAACTTCTGCATACCACACAGCAGGCTGCAGTGTGCCCAAGCCTTGGGCCCACTTGGAACAGGACATTCTGAGAGGCAGGAGCATCTTCTACAATTCTCCAAACTGGATGACCACCAACAAATTACCAACCTGAAATGGAGGACTGACTTAAAACAAACCGAAATCACCTTTACCTGGTGTTCCCTGTTGAAGTGGGTCTACAGGTTGTGAATGCTCTGTAGTTATAGACATCTTTGTATCTAATTGCTTAGATGAGAATAGGTTTAATAAATTATTTCTTCTTTAGCATTTAGCATATTAAATTTTTTTTTAAAGCTTATGGAGTTCATGCTAGGCCAAGTCTCTTCCCCCCTTCTACCCCTGGCCTTGGTGGGAAAACTGGCTCCCTATGTGGTACTGGATGAATTTTAAATATTTAGCCTTCCACTTGAGGTTTTGTACCCCCAACCCCAGGATGGACCCTAAGCAAACCAAATCATTTGGAGTAGAAATATCAGTGAGACATAGCAACTAAACTTAGTACAGATCTACACCCAGTCTCATTACTGATCTACAGGGCCCTACAAATACCAGACTCCTTCCAGTACTTAATCAGGTGACTTGACCAAAAAAATGCAGCTTTTGCACTTGAGAGATACAAAGGGAATGGCCTCACCTGATCTCACTGTTACACGACCACGCAGCAGCTACCAAATTCAGGCAGTTTTCTGCAGTTCCACTCTTCTCCATTGCCTTCCACCTGAAGGTGAACTGCCACTCACAGGAATTAGGAGGGGCAAGAGACTTGTGATCAGGTTGGGTCTGCTACCTACCAATGACATTCCTAAGGATGTGTTGTCTCCATAATAAAATAGATGTCTCTAAAAGTCCTTTACACATTTAACAGAAAGATATGTGATTTTTGCTTCAATGTGCTCTCTCATCTCAGGGCTAGAACACGCTCATTCACTCAGGAGAATTCCTGGCCCAAGATTTTTTAAAACGGTAGGCTAAAGCTAAGCCCAGCTCAGCAACCTTTTAGGCCTAACACCAGAACAGAAATTAGTCCATGACAGCAGAACTGCTCAAGCTCATAGTAGCTGTAAGGAATAACGTGTAGCTGACCTGTAATAAAATTTAAAAAATCAAAAAGCTCACATTACTTATGCAGGTGATTTATTGCAACTATTTGCCTTCACATTCTATTACACCTAGAGATCACTTTATTAAGCAGCAAAAGAATTCACATCACTCAAATTCAGTTCAAACCAAGGCCTAAGAAAACTCTAGACAAGACAGAGGCAGTGGGCAACCCTACTGCTTTCAAACTGCCTTGCTCTCCTCGAGGTGTGCCAAACTCCTCTGTTCATACAACTCAGGCCCACTGTCACTTAAAACAAGCTTGATCTAAAGGGTGGTAAGTCCCAGGGCTTCCTTAGTGTTACAACTTTCCTTACCAAACAAAACTCTGTTCGAGGCAAAACCCTCCCTTCACATGTGCAAGTGCCAAGGACAACCTACCCTATTAAATGCTGCCAACCCAGGTCTGGCACCACAGCCTGGCCATTTGTCAGGAAAAAAAACAAAAAAAACAAAAAAAAAACTGCAATTCAATCTGGGCATCCTAAATCCATTTTATTGCCATCCCTCTGTTTCTTTAACAAAGGAGAACTCAACAGGTAGGAAGGATTCAACTATTTTTAAAAGACAGACTGATAGATGTGCTGAAACCATAAAGCCTTCACACATGATGGCATAGCAGAGCAGTGCTGTGCCACTCTGATTTGGATGATTCCAAGGGATGCTGAAGGGACTTGAACTTATTTTGGGTGGAGAAAAACTAATTACATACAAGTCAGAAAGACTAACCTAGCAATAAACTAAGCCTTGGCAGGAAGAAATTTCTCTTGAGTGTCAATACTTTATTTTGGTGTAAAGACGGGAAGCTGGAGAATACACTGTATTTAAAATTCTTCTTGGTTCCCCCTCACACTGTGGAAACTCCCTCCCCCCGCCCAGAGCTAATCTGTTCAAACTCAAATACTTAAAAATTACAGCAGCAAAACAAAAGCAAAGGGGGGGGGGAACAGATGGAGAAGGTAGCCTGGGCCAGTAGTGTCACTTAGTGTGGACGACTGAAGTACTGAAGAGGAGCTTCTGTTTCTGTTTTTTTCTTTTCTTTCCTCCTTTCTCTTCTAAAGGAAAACACAGAAAGCTTGCTTAGCTTAGAATGCCACCCCTTTGTCCCCTGGCCAATTTTCATTACTGAGAGTCACAGAGTGGGAGCTAAGAGTGCAGGCTCTGGAACCAGACTGCTTGGATTCAAATACCAGTCTTAATATACACTATGTGTTTGTCTTTGGGCAAGTCACTTTACATCCCTAGACCTCAGTTTCCTTATCTGTAACATGACAGTTATACTCAATGATTACTGGGAAAATAAAATTAACACAATGCTAGGCACGCACATAGAGCACATACCATAAACGTGATAAATGTGTTATCTAATCATGAAAACCACAGAAGGGGGGTGGGCTTTGGGCATGACGTTCTACCTATGAGCCACTCTTTACCAATTCAAGATTCTAAAGTGTAGGCAGGACCAACTCTCCACTCTGTCTTGGAAGGAGAAAAAAGACAGTTCTTCAGAATTTCACGCCAGGCTTCAAGAACTAATCTGGGGTGGCAGATAGGTCCTACCTGACATACCAAATGGAGCATTAGTTGACACCAGAATGTGTTGAAGACTGAGGCGTAGAAGCTCAGAGGGAAAAGTGCCTAACCAATTAGTGATACCTGCTGCTGGGGATCCAGGCGAGAATGGCATACAGGTGCAGTATGTTTGACAACCCTGTGCTCAGCACTCCAGTTCTTTGCTCTTACCAGAAAGGGGATCTGAAATAGCAGGTGTATCCAGTTTCATGAAAGCTGCTTCAATAGCTTGGCTGAAGGAATTTTGGAAACTGGGCACAGGAACACGGTCTGAGTTATCACTCTCCCCATCGCTGTCCACAGGGGCAGGAGGAACTAAGCTGTTCTTGTCTAAAAAAACACCAGTGTTATAATTACAGAAGTAATTTTAGAGCTTTCTACTGAAAGGGGCCAAACTCCCCCTTCACCAGCAGGCCATCCTCACCTTTCTTTGGAGTTTTGGGCCATACATCTGCTTTTGCTTTTCCAACCCTCAGCATCTGCCAGAGTGGGAAAAGGAGAGAAAAGAATTTAAGTAACCGGTCTAGCTTCTTTTCCAGACTCCTACCTAGACATTAAACTGGTTAGGAGGGCACAGAACAAACTATCACCTTTGAAAAGATTTTCCAGGTACTTATCTCTTTAACACACTATTTCAGCCATACCCTCTATATCCTGACCAGTACAAATGGCAGTGAAACCACAAGGTGGTAAACCACAAGCTATTTTGTTCTTAGGAAATAGGTAAAGAACACTGCACAGAAGGCATGAGAGATTCTTATTCAGGCTCTCAAGGTGGGAGTCCTGATTTTTCTGATAAATTTTCCTGCCCTTCTTGGGACCCCTAAAAATATCAACCTGTTGGAACAAGGAGTATGTAGTGCCTTCCAATCTTACAACAAACTTCAATTACTTAAGGCAATCAAACTTCAGTTACTTAAGGCCATGAAAACTAATTAAACTTTATCCTGAAATTGCTCCAACAGCCCCCATTACCTTTTAATCTTTGCTCTTCCAGTAGTTCTATAACCATTAACTTTTAGATCCAGCCACAGACCAGTAAAATTCCTACAAGTATAGTAAAATCAGAATAATCCTCCTGCCCCTGAGAAATTTTTTCCATCTCACTTGGCCAAGGCCAGCTATGTAATTAGTGAGGGCCACTACAAGTTCCATCTGCCAAATATGCCATATAATTCAAAGCAGGGTGAATTTTATTCCTAGAAAAATATCAAGGCAAGCCCCACGGGATTCAAGCAGGAATGCCTTGTCCTAAAGGATGTATCCCAAGGTGAAGGACACATATTATTGAAGATGAGTTGGGTTGGCAGATGTTGATTTCAATGAATAACTTTCTGCATCTTGTATCACTCTGGTGATCTTCTCCCTTGGTCCCTAAGAGTTTGGGTCCTAATATTCTCATACTATGACATCTGCATCATCTTATGTTTAAAAATGTAATTAAAATATATATCATGTTTTATTCTTACCAAAAATGTTTACCCTGAATCCACTCATGAGGAAACAATCAGACAAATCCAAGCTGTAAGACATTCTATAAAACAACTGGCCTAGATGCTTCAAAAATATCCATGCCATGAAAAGGAAAAAAAAAAAGAGAGAGAGAGGCCACAGGAACTGTTATGGATCAAAGGAGACTATAGAGACTTGACAACTAATGCAATGAGTAATCTCTGATTGGACCCTGAATTGAAAACAATAAAGGAATCTGAGACAAATGGGAAAAGAGATATACATACTATATTAGATATTACAGCAGTTGAATTTCTTGGATGTGATAATAATTATGATTATATAGGAGAATATCATTTTCTTTGGCATGTATCTCCTAAGCATTCAGTGATGAAGTGTCATTCATGAAGTCTGCAACTTATTTTCAACACAGGGAAAAAAAAAAAGCAAACAGCAAAATGGTCGTAATTGGTGAATCTAGGTGAATGGTTTATAATGTTATTTTTCCAACTCTAAATTTAAGGTTTTTCAAAATAAAGGAAAAAAGCAATGGCAATAAAACCTAGTTTAAAAAAACTTAAGCATTTGCTATAACCCCTGGGAGGCGCGTACTTATCACCTCTGAAGTCTGGCAGTTAATTTTCAGGGTTGTCCTCAAATTATTTCACACTCCTTGACTCAGGACCCTCCTAACCAAAGTTCAATTCCTGCTTATTTCTCAACACAAACTGCCATTTTATGTGAGAAACATCCATATCAACTGCTTCAAGAACTGTTAAGGTTATGATTCCAAATTAGTTCCAAAGTGAATACTGACTTCTCACAGGGGCACTTGTCCACCATATTTCTCAGTTATCTGAATGCATGAATGCTGAGTGACTGTTGTTTCAAGATTAATAAACTGATTTGACATCAAGTCTCACGAACCTAGTGCTTCCCCCCAACCTCGTTCCCTAAGGAAACTGTTTTGGCTAGTTACAATCCTTCCCTTCCCAAAGTGAAGGGGAATGGTTTAGTCCAGGTAACATATAAATACCACCTGAATGAGATGTCCTAGAACCAGGGACCAGTTAAAAAGGACCAATATATCCCAGCCCCTAGAACAGTGCCCAGTACACAACACCTAATGATTTTTTAAATAATTAAAACTCTGATTCTCCCTCAGCTACTCTTGGCCTTTTTTCCTGGGTAAGTCTATAGTAATCTGAGACTAAATCTATGAGCTTCCCTCTTAAGAAAGCCTCCCATAATTATGACAGTCAGTGCAACATGAGCCTGTAATTCTCTCCTCTTCCAATTGAGGGATGTCCATATCATCTGCTCTTGCCAACTCCCTACTGCCTCAAGCTCTGATTGGCAGTAAATTCTCCTCACACCCATCAGATGACTCAGTTGTCCAGCTGTATGAGAATGAAAGGCAACAATCCCTGGATGAGGTTCCCATAAGAACAAGCAGAAGAGTTCATGTTAAGCACCCTTGGGCTGCTTCACAAGCAAAGGGTTTACCTGGGCAAAGGAAGGGAAGGGAGAATCTTCTTCCAAACTCCCAACGCAGAAGGAGGGACTGCCCTGACTGGCAGCAGTGGGTGACAGAGGGGTCAGCAGAAAGTCTGAAAGGAAACCAGAGATGTGATTATATGAGTCAAGTTCCAAAGAGCTACTGTCCTCCTAATAAGGGAGAGGAACCCTGAATTAGGTCTGGATAATTACCACCCCCCACCCCATCCCCAAAAAGCAAATCTTGATCCAACCTTCAACTCTGCTGTGTTCTTATAAAGCCATGAACATCATCTATTACTCACATCAGTGATAATATAGGGAGATAAAAAGCTTCATGGCTATAACAACACTAGGAGTCATGGTGGAATCTATTCCCATAGTAAGAAAAACCCTTTTCTTATAAAATGCTAAATTTCCACAAGGCTGGCTCTCAAGGCCTAAGCATTCTGTCATGGACTGGTTTTATATGGATAGAAAAGCTCCAAGAAAGAGATAAAATTGAATCAGGTCAGCCTTTAAGTTCCAACCAGTAGAAGTCTATGACTTGGGAGTATTCACAGTTAGAATCTGAGACACAAATCAACAAGATCCAGCATGAAGATGCAAACTTTTCCCTGATACTCTCTAGGTAATACTCTTCTCTATCCACGCTTACCTAGAGTTGAACATTTCCCACAGATCAGTTTATCCACAACCCTGATCACTGCTGGGCACAAGGCCCATTCTCTCTCCCAGTAGCAGACCCTTCCATAGTCATCCAGGACTGTTTATTATTTCTAGAAGAATCCAACTGCACTTGCCTAAATACATTAAAAGCCCATACTTTCAGAAAAGCTAGTATGATATGAAAACAATCTTTATACCACAAATTATTCATCCAGTGATCTGCCATATTCCTTCATACAGCAGTTCTCTTCTAACAGTTAACAAGATCATCATGGTCATGCAGTCCTAGAGAACCAGGTTCTAGTCCCTGTTCCTGCCACTAAGTCCCTGCCTTAGCTTCAGGTTCCTAATCTGCGAAGTAATAGGTCTTTGATCACCAAGAGTTTTAAATATTCTGATCTTAAACATTTTGTTAAAAATGCCTGACAGAGGGCCGGCCTGGTGGCGCACTCGGTAGAGTGCGGCGTTTGGGAGCGCGGCGGCGCTCCCACCGAGGGTTGCGATCCCGTTGCTGGTCGTGGTACGGGTGGGCGCAACACTGAGGGTTGCAATCCCGTTACCGGTCACGAAAAAAGACAAAAAGGAAAAAAAAAA